ACCTCTGTTTGCAAACTGTAGCGACCTCAAACTGCAGTCTCCTGTGGTTAACAGCTATAGCCAGCGACCATCACCTGCAGCATCTCCTTCGACCAGCAGCCACTACTGTATCTCCAACTCAAGCCTCTGCCAGAAATCTACAGCAACCTCCACTTGCACTAGGCCGCTAAAAGCTGGAACCCATGCCTCTAAGTAGAATCTCTTCTCAAAATGCTGATATAGCTCCATCAGCAGCCTCTGAGAATAACCATCAGCCTCAACCTCCACCTGAACAATATAAAGGACAAATGAAGCCATGACAGGAAACCTGAAAGCATCTGCCAAAAACCTGCAGGCCCAGCCTTCCCCTGCAGGATATGAAACACAGCTACCTCAAATGCTTCTGGCTCAAGCCTCTGCCAGAAGACATCAGCTTCAACCTCCACAAGTGCTAAGTTTATATTCATGATTTAACCTTTGCAGTTCAGATCAAACATAACATGATTTTTAAAAAGTTGCTCATATTTAAATGATGTATTTCCACATGTTATTTGACCATATAAAAGTGTTGAATTTTTAAAAACACATTTTCTTCTTAAGAACAGGTGGTGGCCCGATGTGAGGTTCCAGCTCTGCAAGCTCAGCCAACAACCTTGAGCTGACGCCTCAACCTGCAGCCTTAGCAGGAAAAACAACCCTCCAACTCAATCCTCTCCCAGAAACCTACAGATGCCTCCACTTCAGTTTATGGCTGCAGCTACACATCATGCCTCCAAGTCAAACCTCTATGAACAATCACCGCCTCCATCTTCAGTCTCTGCAACACATCAGGAGCCATTGCCTCCACCTGCAAAACATTACAAAAAACTGCCTTAAATGCTGCCAACTCAAACCTCTGTCAGCAACCTGCAGCTTCCTCCACCTGACAGCCCACACCCCAACTCCAAGCTCTGCAAAACCCAAACATCTGACTCCTCAAACCGCAGCCTCTGACAGCATCAATAAACTTTCACAACCACCAACAAATAGTGGCACACAGAGCAATCTGCAACTCCACATACAGACTGTAGCTGAGAGCTGCATTCCATAATTCGATTTTAAGCAGCTGCAAGACCAGACGCTGCTGACTGCACCTGCTGCCTCTGACAGAAACCATCAGCCTCTACCTTCACCATTGCAACAACCAAGACAGGTACTTCTAGTGCCTCAAACTCAAACTGCCTCTATGTGCAGTTATTGGACAACAGCTGCAGGTAATGCATCTAACTTCAACCAAACTCCAACAGCCACTGCCCCCACCTGTGACACATGAGTAGCCACTACCGCTACCGGCAAACTCCATCATTAATGTGACCTCCTATGTCTGTCTGCAGGCTCATGTTAGAATCTGAATTTAAACCTTTAGCACCAACCAGAAACTATCAGCTTCTACCTCCACCAGTGAAATATAAAAGACTGCTGCCTCTTATGCCTCCAACTCCAATCTCTGCCAAATACAAACAGCCACCACCTCATCTGAAGCCAAGCATTGCCAGAAACCATCAACCTCACCATCACAATATGAAAGACAGCTGCAAAAAATGTGTCAATCTCCAACCTCTGCCAGAAACCTGCAGCAGCTTCTACCTGCAGACGGTGGCTGAAAGCAGCAGCATACCTTCACCTGACCTGCAACCGTGCATCTCAATCTTCAGCTTAAGATAAACAGTTGCAGCTTATGCCTCTAACTCCAACCTGTGACCATTCAGGAAACAATCACCACCCTCCACATGTGCAATATTAAAGCAAGTGACTTCCAGTTCCTCCAACCGAAGATTCTGCCAGCAACTTTGGATCTCCACCTCAAAATTTCAAACTGTCTCATTAAAAGGGACATTTTTTAATAATAAACAAAGACTATTGCACTCTTTCAACAAGACTGTGAACAGTTGTGTTTTTGGATGCTCTGTAAGATCTTTCCAATTTGTTTAAATGTAAATATCAATATTATAATTCATGAAGTTATCATTATGACCTTTTTCAAACTTGTGTTTAATGTTTATATAAACATGAAAATGGTAATAAAGGTAAAAGGTAAGAGACACAGTCTCCAGACTGAACATCATTTAGCTTGGGCAGCCTGAGGGGAACAACATAATGTATTCAAATGCTAGTAGATCAAAGAAAGGAAAACACTATCTTAACTTAACAAGTTGGTTAGCCTTACCACAGTTGTTACTTACTGTTTGTTGTTCAGTTAGGAGTAAATAAATATCTTATTTTTACTGTTACAAAGTTAGGAAGCCATTAGCTACATAATCCATAGATATTAACATATAATATATATTTAAACTTACCTTACTTTGAGAAAGTGATCACAGCGAACACAAGCAAGCGAAGGTTCAAGACTCATTTTTTCAGGCAATTTTGTGTCAGCGATCTGCTCCTCTCCATCAGTCACCAAGCAGGGGAAGCAGTCACTCATCGTCTGAAGTCAACCATAACCTAGCAAGAGAATATCACATTTTCAGTTGATATGAAGCTTGCAGGTGCAGAAAGCAGGTAACTGACTCACACAGGCTTAAACACATCTCAGCCAGCACTCTCTTTAACTCAAGACTGAAAAGTCATGTACAGTAACTGAATTCATAACATAACTGTACATTAAATGTAAAACACAAACTTTACTTTACAACTTCACCACATTAAACAAAATATTTATTTGGCATTTACCTTAAAATAGTCTAAACCAAATTGCAAACAACACTAAAGAAACTTGTACAACATTTTTACCAAAGTCCACCAACACAAATCTTGGAAACATTTAATGCAAATACTCACCCAGCATGAGAATATCACATTTTCATTTGATATGATGCTAGTGTGACCTTCTCGATATAGTTCTGCTGTTTTCAACACAAGATGGCCAGAGCATTCAGACTGTTAATGGCCAATTGTTCAGATGTCTGTTCTAGGGCTAGGCAATATATCGAGTTTTTAAGATATATCGATACATTTTCAAACAAGATATAGGGCAAGACAATATGGTTAATATCAATATAGTGTAAGTTGCATTAAAATAACATTACAGAGGTGCCAGGTCACTTTTTTCTCATCTCACTGATGATGATGACTGACTGTCTGTCCCTCCTCTCTCTCTTTTATTGTATTTAAGGAACAGTTTTATTTTTTAATATAACTTTTTTAATTCATGTGTTTTCACTGTTAATAAAATACATATCGATATATATCGAGTATTGCCATTCAGCTAAACAATATTGAGATATGAGTTTTGGTCCATATCGCCCAGCCCTAGTCTGTTCCCACTTGAACCAGCATGAGGTTGTTTGCTGCTGCTTTTACAGTGAAGGTACAACTGATTTAGATAAATATAAATGTAAAAAAAAGGTAACAAATCATAAAAGTTAAAATGATTAAAAAAAAAAGACATGTAGTAATTTAGTACTATCAACAACAAAAAAAATCTATATAATGACAGGGTTCTCAAATATCACTATATTACAATACAAACGGTATTTTACATATTAAATCAACAAATTAGAGCAAACACATCTAAAACTACATCTTGACTTTTTTGAGCTCAACCAGCAGTTTGATAAAACATTCAACAGTTCGAAAATGAAACATACCTACAACAATATGGGACACACACAACCACAGGTGTTCAAAAATAAAGTTGTTCAGGTGTCTGTTCCCGCTCGAAGTTCACTCCTAACGGTCATTAGCGACTCGCTTAAATGCTACTGGTTCATATGAATTAAATCAACAAGTCCTCACAAAGTGGTAAAACTACAGATACTACAGGCGTTTCATTTGATATTAAATAAAAACAATAAACGCTGATACATTTTCACACATAACATGAAACATGGACTATGATTTAACTCTGTTAATGTCCGAGCAAATAGCAAATTACCCACAGCATCAGATCGTTTTTTTGCAGATTGCGGTTTAGTACAACGCAAACTTCCGATGTGAATTTTCAAAATAAAATACGAAAAGTGAAAACCATGCAGTTGTTCGTCCCAAGAGGAATTTAACAATGACCTTAAGGTATTTATTTACACTGTATGTTATGGATCGAGAAAACTTAGAGGAGGACCCAGATGCAGAATTAACAAAAAATAATTTATTTTAACAAAAAGCCAAAGGCAAACAAAACTCACTAATTTAAAATGTGCAACAAAAAGCCAAAGGGGGGAAAACAAGGAGCCAGGAGGAAACACTAGAAATTCTGACATAGACAAACAAACTACACTCTGCTTACGATATACAATGAACTGACACAGAAGGGACGAAACACACAGGGGTAATCAACACAGGTGAGACTAATGACACAGGTGCAGACAATGAGGGCAATCAACACTGGAGGGAAACACACACAGAGGAAGGAATGAACACAAGACAAGAAACACTGAGGACAACTACAAAATAAATACATGAAACACTGAAGACACTGTAGAATGAAAAATTAAGAAACATTAGAACATAGAGGGAAACACCGGGGAAGAATGAGATCTAAAAGATAAAAAAACATCTAACAGTGAAAAACAAAAATAAACAGAACAAATCATGACACTGTAGGCTTGTAGATTTCTTACGTTTAGGCTACCTGGAAATCCTCTCATAAAAATTGCAATGCTTTGCCAGCAGTGAAAGAAGGTGTGCTTTTTTTGTTAAGCCTTGCTGGGAATCACTGTCCACCCCTGGCAACGTCCTATGTGCATAATTATTAATCATGGTAATCCCAATAAACATCAAGAACTACAAAAATAATAAGGTATACACATAAAAAAACAACAACAACTATATATCAAAGAAGAATAAAAAAACAATAAAGTCTACACATTATAGAAGTCCGGAGATGGAAAGATGGAAAGGATTTTACAGATAACTCTGTGGTGTTTGCCGCCCCCTGCTGACACTGTCAAGAACTGCGTCGAGGCAACTTTACTTTCACTTTCCAAACGTCAGAGGGGTTGTGACAGAAGGGAGGAACTGAGAAAACATTTTGTGGGAAGAAAATATGGTCGAATGAGATTAGATTTACATACTATACTACCCACTATTTGTTTTGATTTCAGAAGCAGTGCGGTAAAACCTTCATTATTGTACTTTTACTTTATAACTTAATACTTAACAGAACTGTTGATGCGGAATGAATGAATAATTGCACGATAGGCCTACATCGGCGGGGTTATATAACACCATTTTCAATGCAGTACTTGGAATGCCACAAAAAGTAAGCATTGAAGTAGTTTGAAACTTTCTGTAACAGATTTTTTTTTGGGGGGGGTGAATTAAAGGAGAAAGGTAGTGGGCGACACGACAATGGACCCGCTGGATTTCCTGGAGACAGAGGAACTGCTGCAGGTTTTTCACTGTCACAAAACAGAAATGTCCTGCTATGAGAGTCCGACCGTCTTCATAAACCAGCTCAGGGATCATAACCTGATACCGGAAGACAGCTACAAGGTAAGACACTGAAGTGGAAACATTGAGCATTTGTCACTGCCGTTCACAGCCCCCCCCCTCTGATTGAAATGCGCGCTTGTGTGAAAAGCGGGAACAGCAAGACTGGTCAGCAGTTTGCAGGCCTCAGAGATTTCTTAACAGGGCCATGTGCAAAACTTACCACTAACCCACTATATTCAACAGCTGAATGATTATTTGAACCAAAATGAGTCAAAATGACCTCCAGTTTTCATCTTCTTCAACAATTAAACTGATTAAACTGTACAGGGCTGGATAAACCCCCTAAAGGGCCCCAGGGCAGAAATTAGATGTTGACCCCCTCTGTCTCCACCAGCTGAATTTTGTGAATAGCCTGAACTATTGAGTCATCATTTTTTAGGTTTAACCACTTTTTTTCCCACTGTTGTCTTCTCCTCCCACAATAAACACACAGACGGATTGACATTATTACAGTTAGTCCAACAGGATCTGTGATTAGACCTGTGTTCCTAACAACTGCCTGCTCTTCATAGTAACACTTTGTTTTGTTCTTAGCAATGGTCTGCTTCTCTAGAGGGATTGGACAGTGTCTATGTGTAATTGGCTAATCAGAATCAAGTATTTATCACAGCCATGTAATTATTTGAGATATTTATCCCCATAATAAAAGTGAACTTAGAATTACACAATAGTTTTGCTTTTTTTGTACTTTTTCAAAGAGCAAAGGCCATGGAGAATCCTTAGGTTACATTGACATCTTGTAAAATATCGGGGGGGAAATACTTGTTACACTTAATTAAAGTAATCAAAAAATGGATTGTGAAATTGACATCGGATCATATTCTTCACTCTCATCATCTTTCTACTTTTGTGTGCGTGCAGAAGTTAACTCGCATGAAGAGCAAAGATAGAATAAAACAAGCGCTCTATGATCTTCTCAGCTGGTTGGAGAAAAATCAATCCCAGCACATTAAAGTCTTCTGGAGTTGCGTCTTCAAGGAGACCATCATGAACCAGTATCCTCAGCTTCGATTACTTCGCAACAGCCTCCTGGACGGTAAGAAACTATTGTTTTGTGAATCTTCTTCACAGCTCTTTATATTAGTCAGTCTGTTTGGGAAATGTTCTCACATTTAGGGCGCACTCCCACTATGCAAAGTTATCCTGTAGCATGCTTAAGCACGACCCCCCCCCCCCCCGGCAGACTTTGTGAAGTATGTGACTTGAGAGACTTTGAGAATTTTGTTTTCATTTGTGTCTGTTGGGACTTGATATTTCTAATATCCATCAACAACAATTCACCTGCAGGATCCTTCCGTGATTACAAACAACTGCCTGAGAAAATGGAAAAGGAAGAGTCAGCCGAAGGGAAAAGGAAGGAAATGTCAGAAGATGAGGAGGAAGAGGAGACCAAAGCAAATTCAGTAAAAAAGAAGAAGAAACGGAGAAAGATTGTGCTTGACGAGGGGGAGGAGCCGTCTGTTTCATCATGTAAGCTAACCCCAATTCAAAGGAAGAAATCCAAGAAAGTAGTCTTCTGTAAGTCACCGCTCTGTAAAACTGACCGTATAATACTTCCAAGTTTGAATTTGAATTGAGTTTTTTATTTTACAGCTTCTCCCCTGAAGAGGGGCGAGAAAGGCGAGATTTGGACCTGGCCCATCAATAAGTTTCAGATACCTGTGACCTGTGGAAAGAAGGAGGGGATGCTGAACAGAGACAGACTGGCGAAAGGTCAGTCGACTGTAGAGTATCTAATGGAGAAAAAGAAACACTATTTCTATAGTGTTATCTAAAGAGAAGAAGAGAAACACTGTGCATCATGTAAAGAATGGATCTTAAATCAGATTTGATCGCTTGGAATTATTGTATTCACCTGATCTGGACATGAATAAGAACATCCAAACACTGCATTAATTCAAAACACTGCTGCCAGGCGTTTAGCACATGACAAGAGAAGGGACCATATTTAACCGGTACTTGAATCCCTTCTGTGAGTTTTAGAAGGATTTGAGTTGTAATGCTCGTTTCTAAAGGCCAGGATTCAGCCTACCTCTGTGATCTGCTTAGTCCCAGACCACTGCCTGAGATCTCCAAGCAGGGCCCTCCTAAAGGCCTGTTTCCACTAACCAGTCCGGTTCGCATTCATTGGTGTTTTCACTGTCAAAAGTCGGGAATGGAACCAAAATAACCGATCACCACATTCTAGTTTTTGCTACCTTTCTGTTAGGGTGCCAGTGCAGCAGTCACAGTATATAACATCCTGCTGCGTTCTCACATCAGCTCACTCGGACTCGCTGTGGAAAAAATACCAGGGGTCTGGCAGGAGAAAACATGCTCTTTTTCAGGAGTTTTCTGCAAATTTGAAAACCCTAATTCCTTTTAAAATCTCATTATACGACTCACTTTTATCATCAGGCTTTTACGTAACCGCTGACTTTGTTGTACTTTTACATCATCTTATTATTGATATAAAGTGTTTTTAATGATGTTTGGGGTCTTAAATCTGTGTGTTTTATTTACTTCTTGTTTGATTATCTGTCTGTTTTTGTGTTTTCTTTTACTTTGTATCCTGTAAAGCATTAACACATTTAATTGTAATTATTACTGAGGAAACAAATGTGACATTGACCGTCTCAGTGGATGTTGTTGACATCGACACCTTCCTGTTGTCTCAGGGGAGAAGTGCATTGCAGTCGGCAGAGAGTGGTTCACCCCCCCTCAGTTTGAGAGCTTTGCAGGGAAGGAGAACTGTAGGAACTGGAAGACGAGCATTCGATGTGAGAATGTATGCCTTGGAAAACTTATAAAGGTTTGTTAAGATTGTTCTTCTTTTACTGAAGTGGAATAAGATTGTTGGGCCCTTTGAAATGAATTTACCGTAAAACTTCAATTAATATCCCAACCTTTGATTTAAGTCAGACTCTGAAGTGACCCTGCCTTTATTCAGCACAAGCGTCAATACGAGACGGGCCTGTTAGTATGTTCAAACAAAACTTGTGCACAGCAAAGACGGGAAAGAATTTAAAACTGTAAATTTATACCAGAAAGAATAATTCAATGTGTACAAAACGAGGATATCGATAAAACAAATTCAATTACTAATCACTAATACTAATTGGATCTTTCTTTGTAAGACCGCCCATCAGTGTGAGGGGAGAGAGAGAGACCCTCTTGTGCACTATGTCAACCTTTATTTCCATCTCTTAAACAAGCACAAATTCGTCTTTATTTTTTGTAAGTTGCTGTTATCATTTGATCCAAAACTTTATCAACACTTAATGCAAAGTGGCCTCTAACTGAGATGTGCGTGCAGAAACACCAGGCTAGTAAAAGAGACTGAGCCTTAAATTTTGATGGGCCTATATTTGAAGCTTGATGGTATTTGATTTTGTTTTTCCTGCAGGAAGGTCACCTGAACTCAGCGGGCTTCATAGTCAGGAGAAAAACGGTATGCCCCAAAATAAATCAAAAACACACACATACAGTCAGACTTTGTTTTGTTTTCGGTGATTTTGATCTACTCTGTGCTCTTATTTTTATGCCTGTAGGCAAAGAGGTTGCTATCGCCATCTGATTTAATCACAGGTTTGTTCAGTCAATAAGTCTGTCTTTATATCGATCAAAATCGACTTCTCTTTTATCAATCTCTTTCTATCTCTCCATGTCGTTTTCCATACATCATAATTTTACAATTGCTTATCACCTCCTCCTTTCTTAGCGTGTGAAGATGAGGATGAAGATGAGGAGGAAGATGAGGAGGAAGAGCAGGGTTCTTCAAGTCGAAAAGCAAATGTCTCAGGTGCTGTTTTCTACAAAGGGGGAGCTGGGGATGAAGTAAATTATGTTATTATAACAGAAATGAATAGATTTGTATCCTAACACAGCATCAACACAAAGTCAATGTCTAACTGTCTACTACTATTATTTTTGTTATTATTATTTATATTCTAAAGATTTATTTTAGGGCTTTTTGCCTTCATTTGATAGGACAGTGGATAGTGTAGGTAATCAGGAGAGAGCAGGGAATGACAAGCGGGAAAGGAGCCACAGGTCGGACTTGAACGCTGGCTGCCCGCTTGGAGGACTATAGCCTTCATACATCGGACGTCACCTAACTGCTAGGCCATCTGCGCCCCCATTTTTATTTGTCATTTACAGATGAGGAAGAGCAGGAGGTGGAACAAGCTGAGCAGCATCCTGACGTTAGCAAAAGGTGTTCAACGTTACATGTGGGACTAAAGCTGCCACCTTACATGTGAAACGATTTGCATCAGGTAACCCATCAGGTTTTGTCAGATAAACTGGATACAAAGCTTCGACTACTTGTTCCCTTTTTGAAGTTATGAACAGAAATATGGATGCAATTCTTTATCTGTCCAATGTGTAAATAATTATGCTTTCATTTTCTTTTAATTCAGTTGTAATAGTTCAAGTTGTCTCTGACCTGAACACATCTGTGGTGCAGCCCATTAAATGTCAGTAGAATTAACTTTGTATAAGCCATCTAGACGCAGCTTCTGAACATGTTCTCTCCGCCAGGGGATTGTGGGAAAAGTATTCGGACTGAGACAAGCTGGATGACCCCGTTGGAGTTTGTTACGTGGGCATCACATCAGACAGATCCCTCGTGGAGGAGAGACATCATGTGGGAGGGAAACCCGCTCTGTGTCCTCACAGAGGTAATGGGGGTCTGGGAGGTGTGTCATCAAAGTCTAGTCTAATCTGAAATCCCTACTTAGAAGGGACATTCTTTTTAAATCTAGGGATGTTCCTAGCGACTAATTTCCCCACAGTAATCTAAATTCACGCAAGCTGACTAGTGTAAAGGTAAGAAAACACGCACAGTAAGTAAATTCCGCCACCGCAGGGGGCTCTCAATCACAATATTAACAAAAGATGATGTCATGGCTGAATCTCTCTGCTACCGCAACCCCCCACCACCACCACCACCACCACCACCCTTCCGGTTTTTCCATGGCAACGATAAACATGAAGTGTCTGTCATGACAGCTCTGTCAATAGCGGCCGCCATGAAAGACACAGGTCGTTAAAACTATAGAATTATGGATTTACTGTTGGAAAAATCCGATTTAATGTAAGTACTCAACAAAAAATACAACATACGGTAGGTCTAGTCAACTTTTAATGAATGTAGATATTCAAGTGTAAAAATTCTACGTATTACACCTTTAACATGGCTTGTCACTCTCCCAAACCACACTGTGTGTAGCTTATTCAACTGCTATTTGAAACAGTTCATCACATTCTTCAATAAGAGAACTAAAGGCTATTTTAAATGCCACTTAAAGGTCCCATATTATGCTTTTTCTGGTTTTGTATGCCCTTTAGTGTGTTTTCCAAGTGTGTTAGTGTGTTTCTCCTACCTCCTCCTGTTAGTTGTAGCATTAGCTGCATGTAACGCTCGGTTCTTGCCCCCCCCCCGATAAAAATGTGTCAGTCCGACGTCATTGTCAGTGTGAGATCACTGATCTAAGCCCATTGGCTCGTTGTGGCAAGCCCTGCAGCTCATGTTAAAATTTCCGAGAAGCGTGCTGAGCAACTGACCAATAACGACAGAGCAGATCGGTAGACCAATCAGAGCAGACTTGGCCCACGTGGGGTCTAACAGTGTGGGCTCAACAGAGTGCAGCTGACGGACTCAGAGCGTAGAGGGAGCAAGGAGGAGCAGTACATGAAAACAGACACTTTTATTGTGAACGTACAAAAGTAGGAACATAGATTAAATATACGAACCCCAAAAAGGGCATAACATGGGCTTTTTAAATTACTGAGGGGTATCTTAACAACCGGCCTTCAGTCCTCCATGCAAGTTAACTTCCACATGTCTGTGCTGACTGGTTGCCTGTTGCTCTATTCAATTGGTTAAATGCCAGTTTACCTGCACTGCTGTTATGAAATGTCATCTGTCTATTGTGCTGGGCAGTAAAAACAGGAAAAGCAGGTCCGTTAATCAGAGCTAAAGCGCCATCCAGTGACTGCGTTACAGCTTAGACACAACATTTTACTGGCATTGTGGGTCTACATGAATAAAAATACACTCATTCATTTTATAGATTTGTAATTCTGGTGCTGACTAGTGAGGGCGACAACGTTTGATTATTTAGTCAACTTGCCTTGAACATCTCCAGTAAAAAACAGCCCACAGAACCTAAAGTCAACCCTTTTGAAAAGCTCTCACTTCCTCAAAAGCAGTGTCAGAGAGAGGGACAGTGTTTATCAAATCTAAAACAACCTTACTTTGAAACAAAGTGAAAGAAACTGTTATTTTCTGTTTTTCAGGAAAGAATCTTGCAAACGCACTCACTGAATTGTTCCTGCGAACTGTGCATGCCAGGGTTAAAAGACTTGGTAAGTTCCCGGTTCAGCTTCAAGCTGCACTTTTGCCTGCTGCATCCACTTTTGTTCTGCATGAATAAACCGATTTCCATTGCAGCAATATTGATGTGAAGTAAACAGAGTTGCTGTGGTGTTTGACCTTGCAGGAGAATCAGAAGAACGATGACGAGTGTTTCATCTGTAAAAGAGAAGGAGAAGAGTTGGTGGTGTGTGATATATGCCCTCTCTCTTTCCATCAGAAATGTCACCTCCCTCCTGTCGACATCATTTTAGGGTGAGCTTAAGCTTAAAATAGAAGTTTATCATTGATTGATTGACCGGCATATGTGCCGTGGCATATGCTGTTCTGGTCCACTCATGTGCCGCGGCATATGTCGCATTTGAGTGGCACATGCCGTGGCATATGAGTGGCATGCCGGTCTGGTCCACTCCTGTGCTTAATGTTTGACTTTACAAGTGTGTGTGTTTCTGACTGTGAGCAGGGACAAAAGCCGCTGGATGTGTACCTTCTGTGAATTCAGAACAGCTCAGAAGTGGATGTTCAGGGAAGAAATGGAAAGGGAAGCAGCAATGTCCGAACAGATATCACAACACATGAAGGTAGGCATAATCTATGACTCTATCTGTTACACTGTATCTCATATCTATTTTTGCCGTCATTTATTTTTTCCTCCTGCCATCAACAGAGGTGCCAGTACCTTCTCCTGTATCTGTGCAGTGCTGATAAGGAACAACATTTTGCTACAAATCCAAGCCTCTATGTAAGTCTTCGATATTTTCTGTTACCATACTCCTTTTGATGATTTTCCTATTCAATAAGAATACTAATAACCTGGAGACTGGTGGGATTGCACTTTCTTCAGTTTTTTGTTAATTGAAGTCTGAAATTGATGCAAACTTAATATGAAGCTGAGGGTTTTATGAGTCTTTAGTTTTTTTTTTACGTTTTTGCTTTGCACCCACAGTTGAAAGACTACTCCACCATCATCCAAATGCCCATGTGGACTGGAAAAGTGACTGACAAACTCCAGAACAACCTCTACCAAACTGTTGGGGAGTTTGTGTCTGACGTTCAGCTCATATTTACCAACAGTGCTTTTTACAACCTAGTAAGCAAACGCGCTAACAACGTATCAATATCAAAGATGTCATTTTTTAGTAAACACTGACAGGTACTGTTATGTTCTCTTGCAGGAGAATGATGGATTCCTAACCATGAGCAACAAACTGAAGGAGTTATTTGACAGTGAACTCAAGAAGGTGTTCAACATACGTGAAGAGAGTAATGACTGATGAACGGTGTTTAGTTCACACACTCAGGTACTGGGAGAAAAATAGATCATTATTGTGGGTTACAGCCTTGATGTATTTTTAGTTTTTTAATTAAATCTCAATTTACAAAGAGATAAGTTACAGGCCTTTAACTGAAATGGTTTTGGACTAAAATAAGAATTTTTAAGACCTTAAGACCTGGCATAAACTTTGTTGCAGGCAAGGCAGGAGCCCTGACCATGGGGCGCACTCACACTTGTCCCATACCGTGCTTAAGCACACACACTGCTCCAGGACTAACCAGGCTTAAGCACGGTTATCTCTTGTACATAACATCACAATAACACATGCAGAAGTGTGCTTAGTTTACAAGACAGATAAATAATAAATAAAAGGGACGCACGGTCAAGTCCCCAAGTCATCACAGTTACACACTCAAATACGAGCCGACACAAAAGATATTAAGCTTTAAGAAAATGAAAGGTCCGGTTACACCTTAAAATCAAGGCGATAATTTATGATTGGATAGTTATTCATAATGAATGAATTTAAATATAAACCATCATGCAGCTTTTGCTTTTCAGATATAAGATTTGTGAGGAAAATAAACTTCCTTTGTCAAAAAAGCAAAACAGTGTAATCATGCAAATATGAATGTGGAGTCAGTATATTCATCTTTCCTGTTACCTTGGGTGATATTGACAATCTCAAATGCATCTTTCATTTAAAGCATGAAAACTTTTTTACAATGAGGAAAAACTTTTTATGATACATGATGTGTTTGCCTATTTTCATTTGTTTCTTCCTATGTTCTGTTTTATTATTGTTATTTCCATGTTTTCTAATAATTGTTAACATTTTTTTAAATTTTGACTTGAGTGCACTTTTGACAAAACAAGACGGGTTCACAAGACTTTGGCATTATTGCTTTTAATGTTGTGTGTGGAAAAATAAAGTTGTGACCTGTCTGAACCTCAAAGGAAAGCACTTGTGTGGCTGATCTTTGTAATTTTTGGGAGCTGGTGTTGCAGGTTGTTTTTTAGGCGTGAAACTATATAAATGCAACACAAAGTATTGATCACAATTCTAATAACATTTACCACAATAATCATTCAGGGATTGTCGCAATACTTGAACTATGAGCAAACAAGACATTGGTACTGCTTGAGTTAAATATAACATTTTAAGCAGTCATATAATAGTTCTACTAAAATAAAGATTAACCCAGCTAGTTAGTAGCTGCCTGTTGGCTGTAGCACATGACACAAGTTACCCATTGATATGAATTTACATTTAGCAGAGAGAACTCCCATGATTCCCCTCCAGCCTCAATGTCGTCTTTTGTCATTGTATTGATTGAGGAATCTACTTACTGTGCCTTTAATATAATGTCCTTATTAAGTTAACATACATTGCTGGTGTTAGCCCCCCCTTGTTTCATCAAAAAAAGTAAATAAATAAATAAACATAAAACCTGATTAGCTTTTAAAAACAACAATGCACAACCGTATTTTGTTGATTGATCCAGTCTGACACTTATAGAACCGGTAAGACACATACAGCTGGATGATGATAGTTTATAGTTTTTTGATATAAAAATTATTTGATTCAGATCAGGTGAGTGTTTTAAAGTTCTGACACAGATAATAAATCAATTAAATATTGGTGGTGTGATTATCACAAATTCTAGTTAAATAATGTTAAATATTTTAGTTATCAAAATGTAGCTGAGCCAGGTTGATGCCTCTTGATGTTAATGTTTTAAATGTAATTTTATTATTTATTTATTATATTCATATTTAATTACTGGCTGAAGGGGGCTTTTCCTTAGGGGCTGCTTCATCTACCTGCAGTCTCTACCAGACATAACAAGCTGCTTTCTCCACCTGCAGCCTCTACCAGACATAAGAAGCTGCTTCCTCCACCTGCAGCCTCTACCAGACATAACATGCTGCATTCTCCACCTGCAGCCTCAACCAGATGTAACAGGCTGCTTCATCCACCTGCAGCCTCTACCAGACATAACAAGATGCTTTCTCCACCTGCAGCCTCTACCAGACATACGAAGCTGTTTCTCCACCTGCAGCCTCTACCAGACATAACAAGCTGCATTCTCAACCTGCAGCCTCTACCAGACGTAAAGCTGCTTCCTCCACTTGCAGCCTCTACCAGACATAACAAGCTGCATTCTCACCTGCAGCCTCTACCAGACAACAGGCTGCTTCTCCACTTGCAGCCTCTACCAGACATAACAAGCTGCTTCTCACCTGCAGCCTCTACCAGACATAACAAGCTGCTTCTCCACCTGCAGCCTCTACCAGACATAAAGCTGCTTCTCCACTGCAGCCTCTACCAGACATAACAGCTGCTTTCTCCACCTGCAGCCTCTACCAGACATAACATCTGCTTCTCCACCTGCAGCCTCTACCAGACATAACAAGCTGCTTCTCCACCTGCAGCCTCTACCAGACATAACAAGCTGCTTCCTCCCTGCAGCCTCTACCAGACATAACATGCTCTCTCCACCTGCAGCCTCTACCAGACATAACAAGCTGCTTCCTCCACTGCAGCCTCTACCAGATAACAAGCTGCTTCTCACCTGCAGCCTCTACCAGACATAACAAGCTGCTCTCCACATGCAGCCTCTACCAGACATAACAAGCTGCTTAACCACCTGCAGCCTCTACCAGACATAACAAGCTGCTTCTCCACTGCAGCCTCTACCAGACATAACAAGCTGCTTTAACCACCTGCAGCCTCTACCAGACATAACAAGCTGCTTCTCCACCTGCCTCTACCAGACATAACAAGCTGCTTTCCACCTGCAGCCTCTACCAGACATAACAAGCTGCTTTCTCCACCTGCAGCCTCTACCAGACATAACAAGCTGCTTCCTCCACCTGCAGCCTCTACCAGACATAACAAGCTGCTTCCTCCACCTGCAGCCTCTACCAGACATAAGAAGCTGCCTCCTCCACCTGCAGCCTCTCATAGCAATGTGTGCTGATGCCTTCACCTTGCATCTCTGTAAAGAATCTTCAGCCACTGCCATCGACTGCAGCCACCACTAGAAACTAGTTCCAGGTTGCACCAGCTATATGTGAGTTCAAACGTAGTCTAGTTTGAACTTAAGTTTACGCTCTACTAACATTTTAAGTGTTGCACCAGCTGAGATAGTTACAATGAAGGCATAAGTGATAACTTAAACATCACAGCTAGTTCCTAATTGATTCAAAGTCCTCCTTAAAATACTGTCATTGTGATGTATCAATATTTAAAGTGGATAAGCAGAGGGGTTTACTGTTAGCATCAGCAGTGTGTTTTTCTGTGAGCAACCAACACTTTGCAATGAATATTTATGCAACACTTTGTGGTGGATATTCAAATATGTAATCAACCTTACATAACAGCCAAAGAAAAAGGAGATTAATTCAATGTTTATATTGTATAGAAGCATTTTTCTTAAAATAGATACACTGTTGAAACATTTGGCTTTTTTTTATACTCCCCAGATAGTTTAAACTAATCTTTATAACTCTGACTGTATAAAACAAACTCTTACTTGTCTTCCACTCTCTCCCTGCCTCAGTGGCAGGTTTAGTTGTTTTTACCCTTTAATTATCAATATGTTAAGTCTGTAATGCGCCCTGTGATGCGTCTCGCAGTACATCAGAGCCTTTTCTATCACGAAATGAAACGCTTATGTTTTGTGACATCATTTTATTGAAACGTCAGGGTGCTGAATATGAATTTAATGATGGGCTATTAAGACATATTTCTCTCTTTCGGGTCAATTGAGAGAGAGAGAGAGATAGAGCTAAAGGAAAAAAAATGCTTACTGTGCATGCGGGCATTAAGTTGCTGTCACCACTGTTTCTGTTTTTTTTTATAACGTTGCCCGTTATATGATTATTATGAAGACCATATTTATGTAGTAAAATTCCACAGATGACAGTGCTTCTTAAATGTATGGGGAAAGCGGGTAGCAACTTGTAAGTCAAACTTTTTTTTTTATCAGAATCAACAATAGGAATAAAGTAGATGGGTATAATGACGTGAATAGTCGGCTGTTTATGGAAAGCCCTGGTAATCCTGCTGTCATTTTCTATGTGCAAAGATGATTCCACCCGTCCAACAACAGAGTATTGTTAAATTACATGTCAGTGGAAGATTTCACCACTTGATGTCACTATTATTTCACACCAGCTGTAGATTAAGGTTTTAACTCTTATTTGAAATACAACGCTCTGCTGGTTAAGATGAACCTTATGTCTCTTATGTCTCTGTGGTGCAACCAAACAATGACACAACTTAAGGTAGGACCTAACTAGTTACAAGGGTGTGGTGTGGACTTACACTTAGCTTAGCACTTAGCTGGTGCAACAGGCCGCAGCAGCCTTACTTCCATCTGCTCAATATGAAAGGCAGCAGCCATCAATGCCTTTCACTCAAGTAAATTGCAGTCACCTCCAACTGCAGTTTTTGGCTAACAGCTGTAGCTGAGCCTCCAACAGGAGCCTCTCCTAAAATTTCAGTCTTTACCTCCACTCTGGCAAAATGTGAGACAGCTGCCTTCGTTGCCCTCAACTCAAACCTCTGTTTGCAAACTGTAGCCACCTCAAACTGCAGTCTCCTGTGGTTAACAGCTATAGCCAGCGACCATCACCCGAAGCATCTCCTTCGACCAGCAGCCACTACTGTATCTCCAACTCAAGCCTCTGCCAGAAATCTACAGCAACCTCCACTTGCACTAGGCCGCTAAAAGCTGGAAGCCATGCCTCTAAGTAGAATCTCTTCTCAAAATGCTGATATAGCTCCATCAGCAGCCTCTGAGAATAACCATCAGCCTCAACCTCCACCTGAACAATATAAAGGACAAATGAAGCCATGACAGGAAACCTGAAAGCATCTGCCAAAAACCTGCAGGCCCAGCCTTCCCCTGCAGGATATGAAACACAGCTACCTCAAATGCTTCTGGCTCAAGCCTCTGCCAGAAGACATCAGCTTCAACCTCCACAAGTGCTAAGTTTATATTCATGATTTAACCTTTGCAGTTCAGATCAAACATAACATGATTTTTAAAAAGTTGCTCATATTTAAATGATGTATTTCCACATGTTATTTGACCATATAAAAGTGTTGAATTTTAAAAAACACATTTTCTTCTTAAGAACAGGTGGTGGCCCGATGTGAGGTTCCAGCTCTGCAAGCTCAGCCAACAACCTTGAGCTGACGCCTCAACCTGCAGCCTTTGCAGGAAAAACAACCCTCCAACTCAATCCTCTCCCAGAAACCTACAGATGCCTCCACTTCAGTTTATGGCTGCAGCTACACATCATGCCTCCAAGTCAAACCTCTATGAACAATCACCACCTCCATCTTCAGTCTCTGCAACACATCAGGAGCCATTGCCTCCACCTGCAAAACATTACAAAAAACTGCCTTAAATGCTGCCAACTCAAACCTCTGTCAGCAACCTGCAGCTTCCTCCACCTGACAGCCCACACCCCAACTCCAAGCTCTGCAAAACCCAAACATCTGACTCCTCAAACCGCAGCCTCTGACAGCATCAATAAACTTTCACAACCACCAACAAATAGTGGCACACAGAGCAATCTGCAACTCCACATACAGACTGTAGCTGAGAGCTGCATTCCATAATTCGAGTTTAAGCAGCTGCAAGACCAGACGCTGCTGACTGCACCTGCTGCCTCTGACAGAAACCATCAGCCTCTACCTTCACCATTGCAACAACCAAGACAGGTACTTCTAGTGCCTCAAACTCAAACTGCCTCTATGTGCAGTTATTGGACAACAGCTGCAGGTAATGCATCTAACTTAACCAAACTCCAACAGCCACTGCCCCCACCTGTGACACATGAGTAGCCACTACCGCTACCGGCAAACTCCATCATTAATGTGACCTCCTATGTCTGTCTGCAGGCTCATGTTAGAATCTGAATTTAAACCTTTAGCACCAACCA